AGGACATCAATGCCACACTAACCGAACCAGTAGCACAAACAATCAACATACCAACCATGAGGCAAGCTCCAAGAACAAGGTCAGGAACCAAGAYCTTAAGAGAGGAGTTCAACAAGACAATAGAAAGCTTAATCACCCTAATCGAGCATGAAGACCTCAAGAAGACACTCCTCACCAAAGAGATCATTCAAGAAGACAATGTAGGCATAACAAAGACTCAATGCTTTGAAGATGATCAAGATCACGTCAACATGGAGTTGGAAATACAACAAGAAAGCAAGAACAAAAAAGAATGGCTTAAGAACCAAACTACAACGTTTCTGCCGGTTCTACAAGGAAACAATGAATCAAACATTTTCATCATTTCAAAGAGCCTTTGAGGAGAAGAAAACGTGCATTCAAACAATCAAGGTGAGTATTTGAATTCGAATTTCTAATGAGTTTCCTTWTTCTGTTTTGCAGGAATTTTCTATTTTCATTTTTAAGAACTTTTCTGAAATAGTTTAAGTAGTTGTTTCTTCTAATTCGTTGCGTTTTGTACTTTCATTTTCTGAAACAATAAGCCCTAGAAGGCAGAGCTGATGAACCATTTATAAGGTTCCTTTGCAGCTTGTATTATTTTTTGACCTTTGATATATTAATAAAGAACGAACTTTCTTCTCTTGAAGAACCCTAGCCGCTCTCTTCTTCTTGTGTGCGAATCCTTGAAGAACTAGCTGCATCTCGACTTATCACAGATCAAACCAACAATCTGTGTGGCGTACGTCACTCCATCTTCGCATTTCATTCACTTGAATACTCTAAAGAGATCCGTACGGGCATTTAGAGCATTCTCCATCGCATTCATTCACAAATCATCACTATTATTGTTCTAGAGAGTTTTGTACAAACAGCTAGATCAATACCACCTTATCATCACTTGTAGATCAATATCTTCGATCCTACATCAATTAATCACTCGGTTTCTTCACTAACAAGAAAGAACCAAGTTATGTTTACTTGACAAACAATCTTTTTCTTTCGTTTACCCTGATACCAGCTCCAACAAGGAAATCGACCAAAACAAATTTCATTTTAGTATGACCACTTTTGAAATCATCCCCACCGATCAAACAATTCCTCGATATAGCCAATTCGATAAGCCTGGAACAAAAGTATTCTAAGGACTCCTATTAATGAAAGGGATGCCTTCAAGAACACAAGCAATGGTGAAAGCGTAGAAGGCGAGATCTCAGACTCGTTCTTTTCAACAGAAGCCAATAGATTCTCCATCGTATCGTTAAGCCCAACAATCACATTGCTATAACGCTCTGTATTTGCTCTCCAAAGAACAACTAACTTATCCACTTTGTTCTTCTCCTTGAACTCCCTAAAACACAAACACACAATTAATACACCAACTCACTAACGTTAACAAACTCTACATATAAACATGTACATTTGTTATAATTACCTCATGTCCTTGATGATTTGGTCGACTTGTTCTTTCTTGGTACCTTTGATCACGCTATTGGCACGTGACCCTTGATTCGTAGCGATGAAATCAAGATTGTAGATTCCAGGGAGTGGGATCATGTGCTCCATGTAAGGTCTAAGTTGTTTCTGAAGATCAATGTCAAGAAATTTAGCTCTAGGCTCCCGTCTCTACTTTAAGTGGGGCCCTGGGCAAAAAAGAAAAAAAAATGGCCCATTTAATGTATTTTTTTTTTTGGTTTTTTTGTAGTAGTATAATTATTATTTTTTAGTTTTGGGCCTTTTTTTGAGTTTTTTTAAAAATTTAGACTAGGCCCGGATGTAGGCCTCACTAGCCACCCCTCAGAGACGGGCATGTAGCCATGGCATCTGCTAAGTTGATGTCGCTTATGTCCCAACCACCAAACACAACATCATCTCGATTCACCATTGGGAGGAGACTCTTGAAAGGAGCGTAGATCTCTTCACCATTGTAAGATCCGACACGAATGGAAGAAGCTTGAGTGAGTGAACCAAATTAATTGGCTTGTTGCACTTTGTCTTTAGTCGCCCACGAGATTCCTCTACACAAATATTTTTTGGGCCAATTTAACAAAACTAATCGAAATGAAACAAAAATGGAATAAAATCAAAGTGCTTACTACTCACTCTTTGGTAGCAATCACACCTAACGGTTGGTGTTGAACCATTGTTTCCTACCCAACCAACAAGCATAACCCTAATCACCAAATTTCGAAAATGAGATTAAAATTTTTGAATTCTAAGACAGATCCAGATGAATTCGTGTCAGAAAATTAAGGAAAACAAGTTAAAAATTCAATTTTTTTTCAGATTACCCTAATTTGGGGAATCGAGTGTCTGTTTTGAAATCATATTTGACAGTATTAGGCTTGACGATCCATTGGTAAGTACCGTTGCGGTTCTTATTGGGAGATCGAGAGGTCGAAATCGATCGAGATTGAACGGTCAAGATGAGTGACCGAGATTATGGAAATATTGTCAATATCGTTGATTAGGAAATTTAATATTTGTGTATAAGTTAGATTTCCTATTCCGTAAATATAAAGAACTTGCTAGACAAGTTATGATCTTTGTATAAATAAGTCTATTGGCTAGTGAATAAATCGGAGAGAAAATATTCTACTACTATGTTTCCTCCAAAATCTATCACGGTATCAGAGCCTTAAATCTAATTCCTATGGGTTTAAGGATTTCTATTTTCCGCAAAAAAAAAAATGTGAACTAGTTATAACTTATTTTTTGATATTTATTTGATCGATTTCTTCTTTCTCTTTCTTTAACCTTGTTCCTTCAATCTCTCTTCTCGTTGGAACTTTCTAAATATTTTGTTACAAATTTATTTTGCTGATTTTTTGCTGTTTTTTTTGGGTTAATTTGTTGTCTAACCAACAAAAAAATTATATTTGAAAATCTAACCAAAACCTCTAAATCCAAGAGGTGAGATTTAGCCACATAGGTGTTTTTATTGGATTTGCAAATATAATTTTTTTTTTGTATTATGCAACCAATTTTCCTTTTTTTTTTTACC